GGGCTTGGAGAAGTAGCGGGGACGCAAGCGCTATGTGGACCATGACTATGCAATGCATTAGGGAAGCCGCTAGAGAGGTATTAGGGATCTTGAAGGGTTACTCTAGTGGACACAAAGGATACTAGTGATGGAATGGAGAGGTTCAAGGAAAAGTGGAGACCAAGAAAGCGGCATATCTGAAGTTAGTGGAAAGTGTAGACGAGGAGGAGAGAAGGGTGAATAAGGAGCAATATAAGTTAGCTAAGAAGGAGGCAAAATTAGTAGTTACGGTGGTCAAGAATACAGTTTTTGGTCATTTGTATGAAGAAATCGAGGGCCGAGGTAGGGATAAGAGGTTGTTCAGGTTAGCCAAGATAAGAAAAAGTAAGGCTCGTGACTTGGACCAAGTGAAGTGCATCAAGGACGAAGAAGGTAGAGTTTTGTTGGATGAGGGGCTTATCCGTCGGAGACGGCAGACCTACTTCCATAGTCTCTTGAACGAGGAGGGGGACATGAACATTGTACTGGGTGATTTGAAATTCTCCAGGAGTTGTTGCGACTTTGGGTATTGTAGGCGAATTTAGTTGAGGAGGTTGAGAGGGTTATGCGTAAGATGAGCAGGGGTGGAGCGACCGGGCCGGATAAAATCTCGGTGGAGATTTAGCAGAGTGAGGGCAGGTAGGTTTGGAGTGGCTCGCTAGATTATTTAATGTAATTTTTAGAACGAAGAAGATTCCCGGGGAGTAGATATGGAGCACGATGGTTCCTTTATACAAGAACAAAGATGATATCTAAAATTGCAATAACTATCGGGGTATCAAGCTGCTTAGCCATACTATGAAAGTTTTGGAGAAGGTGATGGAGTTAAGGGTGAGGAGGAGTGTGTCTATTTCTGAGAATCAATTTGGGTTCATGCCGGGGCGCTCAACTACAGAGTCCATTCACCTTGTTTGGAGTTTGATGAAGCAGTATAGGGAGAGGAAGAGGGACTTGGATATGGTGTTCATAGACTTAGAAAAGGCATACGATAAAGTCCCAAGGAAGGTTTTATGGAGGTGTTTGGAGGCTAGAGGTGTACATGTTGCCTATATTAGGGTGATTAAAGACATGTATGATGGAGCAAAAACCTAAGTAAGGATGGTAGGAGGGGACTCAGACCATTTTTCGGTCATTATGGGGCTGCACCAGGGGTTAACACTCAACCCTTTTTTGTTTGCCCCGACGATGGACGTTCTGACGCGCCACATCCAAGGGGAGGTGCCGTGGTGCATGTTATTTGCATATGATATTTTATTGATTGACAAGACGCGAGGCAGTGTGAACGCGAGGTTAGAGGTATGGAGGTAGGCCTGGAGTCTAAAGGATTCAAGCTTAGTAGGACCAAGATAGAGTATTTGAAGTGTAAGTTCAGTGGTGAGACTCAGTGAGGGGAAGGGAAGGTGAGGCGTGACTCGCAAGTCATCCCTAGGTGAGGAAGTTTTAAGTACCTTGGGTCTATTATTCAGGGGGATGGGGAGATTGATGAAGATGTCACACATCGTATTAAGGCAAGATGGATGAAGCAGAGACTCGCTTCTAGTGTTTTGTGTGACAATAAGGTTCCACCAAAACTTAAGGAAAAGTTTTATAGAGTGGTGGCTAGACTGAGTATGTTGTATGAGACTGAGTGTTAGCCTGTCAAGATCACCCATATCTAGAAGATGAAGGTAGCAGAGATAAGGATGTTGAGATGGATGTGTGGGAACACCAGGTTAGATAGGATTAGGAATGAGGTTATTCATGACAAGGTGGGTATGGCCCCCATTGAGGACAAGAAGCGTGAAGCGAGGTTTAGGTGGTTTGGACATGTGAGGAGGAGGAGCACAGATGACCCAGTGAGGAAGTATGAGAGGTTGACATTTGAGGGCCTACAGAGAGGTAGAGGTAGGCTGAAGAAGAAGTGGGGAGAGGTGATTATGCAAGACATGACGCAGCTTCAACTGATCGAGGACATGACCCTTGATAGGAAGATGTGGAGGTCGAGGATTAGGGTAGTTGGGTAGGTGATAGATTGTTCATACCAGTAGGATTAGTACGCACTCTCGCATTCTGTTGGTAGTAGGTTTCTATGACTACCCATCATTTTCTTTTATTTTGATCATCTTATTATCGTGTTGTTTCTGCTACTTTTATATGGCTTTTTGGTGTTGTCCCTCATTGTCTATCTTTTAATTAATGTGGTACTTATGTTTTTCTGAGTCGAGGGTCTATTAGAAATAGTCTGTCTACCTTCACAAGGTAGGGGTAAAGTTTGCGTACATGTTGGTTCCCAAGTACACGCAAGTATACGTGGCCGTCAAGTAATAAAGTGATTCAAAGTCGAATGTCGAACCCATAGAGACTTAGATTAATTTTTAACTAAGCAAACTAAAATTAATTACTGTCCAAGATGATAAAAAAAATACTATTTTCTTCTAAACTACTATTGCAAAAATTAAACTAGTAATTAGCCCAATTAATTAGGAGCAATCGATTGTAGTTGGATTTTAATCAAATGAGATGAAGATTCCAAGGTTGTGGTCGGTTTGTCAATCCTATTGGGTTCATATTTACGCCTGTTAATCTACATTATCTATGATTGCTAGTTAACCAGATCGTTTATATAAATAATATATTCCCACAATACTATCTGTCTATCCATAATATATCAACCATATATTCCTATGGTCTTGAATCTATCATGAACGAATATAATACGGTATTTACCTAAGCTAGACTGTTAGGTATATTCCTATCATAACCGTAAAATCTTTCCCCGAGCCACGGGTTTAGAAACAAGCTCTCTCTAATTCTTCTCTAATCTAAACACGGCTTTCCCAAGCAGAGTATAGATAGTAAATAGAACTCAATTGCTGGCCAACAATTAAGCAATTATGCACAGAATTAGAGAAACAATCAAAGATGATGACTCGAATTAACGGTAATATAATTAATAAACTTCAATATTCATGACAACCACAATCCTAGAATGTGAAGTTTAGCTCCAATAGACATGGTAGCAAAATAATAAGTCATCCAAAGAAACGTAAAGTTTACTGTGTTTGATGGAAGAAAGATGGAATCTGATGAATTTCGGCCTCCACAGCGGCTCCGTGCTCTCCGTTCATCAAAAATTGCTCTGAAAAACGTCCTTCCCCCATTCAGACATATTTAGGGAGTATTTATAGGCTAGGGTTGAAGTCCTTTAGTCCAAATTCGGGTCGGAGACTTTTAACTCACAACTTTTAATTATCGGGCTATAGACCTTGCGAAGCTTGGTTTGTAGCGCGGTCAACCTGGCTATAGACCTCGGGAAGCTTGGTCTGTACCGCGGTCAAGCTGGCTATAGACCTCGCGAAGCCTGGTATGTAGCACGGTTTAGGTACCTGATGCTTTTGTGTTATGTTCTTACTTCACTTTGCATGAAAACTTTCCAATTCACTCCTACACATATCAATACCATTATTTAGCTAAAGTCACAAATATTCCCACTAAAGTTAATAAGATCGAGGCGTAATGCAAGGTAAATTAAATGCAAAAACATAAATTTATAGCCAAACATCGATACACACTATCCTTCTCAGACCCACTGTATGGGATAATACTGAATATGTTGTTGTTGTTAGTTCTATTTGATTGAGAACGGAGTTTAAGAAAAAGAAAAACTTTTAAACTTGTGGTATGAAATGAAATTCATATATTGTGTGTGACTATAAATCATGCATAAAGGTAAATTGTTTCTAAATATAAAAAGAGGTATAAAAAATTATACGGACTAAAAAAAATAGGTTTACCTAAATTAAAATGGAAGGAATATAAAATAAAGTAATTGAAATCCATCAAATAGAGCCATTGACACTCCTATTATGAAGTGCTCTCCCAAAGACGCATTTTATATCAAATATCTAACGAAATGGATAAATAAAATAATACTATTGATTATTACTACACAACGCTAATGTTTAAATTTTCATTCTGTATAGCATTCGCAATAGATGCTAAGAACAAGCTCATAGCTCGGTAACAATGGCACATCCACTTTCCTTCTCACAACCCCCACTACCGCCTCCCTCTTCCTCTCCTAAATTTCTTCACCTCAACACAACCACCTCAATTAAGCCCACGCCCATTTTCTCCCATCTCAAAAAACACAGTCTTTTCACTTCCACACCCAAAAAACCCAACTCCTTCACTATCCCATTAAAAGCCACTCAAGATTCAAACTCCAACAACTCCTCATCAGAAACCCAGCAAAACCCACCACCGGATAGTACCAAAGTCGCCACCGATCAAGACGCCGGCGGCGATGAGTTGTCACCGTCGGATGTGGGGTCGGAGATAAAGAAGCTGATGAAGGAGAGAGAAGAGAAGGGGACGGATTTTTGGAGTGGAGTGGCGGAGGAGATAAGGGAAATTGAATGGCCAGCTTTTGGTAAGGTGTTGAGTACTACTGGGGTTGTGATTGGAGTCATTGCTGGGTCCAGTGTCGTTTTGCTCACTGTTAATGCCGTTTTGGCCGAACTTTCTGATAGAGTTTTTGCTGGAAAAGGTGTTCAAGATTTCTTTGGTTGATTTTTTTGTTAAGATAAGACTTCTTTGAAGAATCTTCTTTTTTGTGTTTTAGTTCTTTTTTTCCTTGGAATAATTTTGAACAATCTTTTCCCATTTATTGTTGCAAAATTTGATTGAGAATACTCCAGTATATGATAGCTCAAAGTCGAGTTTAAAAGTTTATGAAGAAAGAAAATTTCTTAGTCTATGGCGCCTAAATATACTAGTGTGTAGTAATTTAGTTAATGAGTCTCTGGTATTTTCTTCAAGTTATTTAGACAGCACCAGAAGTTTAAACTAATACTAACGAATATATGAACGATGAGAAGATGTCACTTACCTAGAAAAGAAATTTAGTTGTTAATGTAAATAAAGTAAATATATGCACAATGGGCATGTACAGCACTTGATTAGCGTAGGATGAGAAGATGTCTATTCAAGAAAATAAAAAGTTTAGAGGAACTTTGATGAACAAGCAGCACAGCTCTTGAAATTCCTGTTATAAATCCACTGTCACAAGTGTTGTAGAAACAGTAAACTTACAAAAGCACTAAGACATACTTGAATGGCCACTAAAAAAAAGAAAAAGGCCTTATTTTTAGAAGTTTCAGCAAACCGGAAAGGAAAAGGTTCAGACAAGAACATTCTGCTTTGATCGGAAAACCCTCTCGAGACTATGGTATGGTAGTCGAAGGACAAAATGTTCAAGGCTCCACGGTCATGTTCTCTGCTTCCCGTCTAACAGATTCAAAGAGCACAGAGGAAAGATATCGCTCCCCGAAGCTTGGGAAAACAACCTGCAACGCCAGTTTAATGTGGCTGTAAGTAGAGGCAAAACAAACCTTGTCGTGACTTAGAATGCTATTCCATCATACAAATGACTAAAATTGGTGAAAATGTTCTCCATGCGGTTGACTTATGATACTTGAATACTTCAAACAAGGAATGATTACAATGTGCAAAAAACTGTCAAATTAGATATTCTACAAAACAATACAACAATAATGGCAGGAAGCACCGGATGGATCAATAAAGTCAGCATAAAAAAGCTTGCAAAATTGGCAGTGTTTTGCTGGACAAGATGAAAATCTATGCCAGTGTCAAAATGAGCATAGAAGCAACAGTTGTCTTAGTTGCTTAAATAAAGAATATTTTAGGAGTAGGCAGACAACAATAGAGTGAATTCAGCAGTTGCAGTAGGCACAAGAATCTTGAGCATCAAAGCACAATGATAATCAATTTACTGCATCTTTCTGGACCAAAGCACTGCCAATGAAGTAACTAACCCTAACCATCATCAAACTACAGTCCTTCCTCAATGACATATCAAGTGTCTATCCCTATACAACCAAAACCGCCAGATGTATTTTGAAGAGAGAAACACAAGAGACACATGAATAAGTAAATTTCTTTCATCATATTCTGTTCCCTATGGTAACACAGAAAACAAGACTTTTTTTTTTTTGTTATATATGCAAAAACCCAAGATATTTAGGGACGACAAAAATCAAATGAAGCACTTCCTACCTATATAAGTTGAACAAAAAACATTTCATTATGTCAATCACTTAGATACTCACAAACCACTAAATCCCATGAGTCCACTAAGATAATGATACATGCCTTTTCTTTGTTTTCGATATGACAATATTTCAATGTTTTGCATAATATAGTTTATCAGCTTCAGCTGATCATGAGTTGACTAGCATTTCATAAAAAGTGATAGATACTTACAACAATGAGCTTCCCAGCATTTTCAGGGCGCTTAGCAAGTTTGATTGCTGCAGCAGCAGAAGCACCAGATGATATGCCCACCTGTAAAATGCATATTTTCAGTATCCAAAACATGTAGGACGTTAGGAGTGCGCAAAACTGCGGCATGACTATTACAATGTTCAATAGCTCTTGCACACACTTCTCTTTTTCTTTCTTTATTCCGTGGGAGCTTTTTCCCTTTATCCTTTTTTCTTCTTTTTCTTNAAAAGTCAAGATCAATAATAGAGCGGAAACTGAGATTCATAGTGTTCCCATAGATCAAGAATTTTGTAGAAAAGATATTCTGGGAAGTTCATATCTTACTTGAATTACTTCATCAATAAGACCAACTTCCAAAACACCAGGAATGAAACCAGCACCAATCCCCTGAATCTTATGCGGACCTAATGCATCATTGGCAAGTCATATGTCAAATTGAATCAAAGAACCATATAACAATGACTTGTTAAATTGTTTACACAGCAGATATTTCAAGATGGTCACAATGACTTTTTTGTTGATAAAAGGTAAAAGCGGACACAATGACTTTTGTTTTTGCTTTTTATCCATTTGGGGCGGTGTTGCAGGACTGGGTAGCCACTCAGAAAGGCTAGTGCAATTTTTTCGCTCTTTGCTGACAATAAAGCATTTTCTCCTTTATATTTCGGTTGACACTAGAAATGGAGTACAGAAGGAGCAGGTTTTTTATACCAAACTCTTATGACACTCAAAATTGATAATTACTTTATACATTATGGTTAAAAGAGTGGATACCGAGGATCCATACAGCCGATCCGGATTAGATTTGGATTGAGGAGTAGCTGTTGTATATAAATATATAAATACTAGTAAAGAGATGAGATTACTATGTCAGTTACCCTTTTTGGCATAAAGATATTGTAAAAGCTAAAAAAGAAAAAACATTCGAGGTAGTTTGGCACTTAACTTAAGATACAAATTTAATTAGGAATCTGAAGTGTATAATATATTGCTCATGCTCTTATTTTTGGTTAGGAATATACAACTAAAAGGGAGGAAAATGTTTAATAATGGATTCACAATTTTTGTAGATAGCTATTTACTATTGATGTCCCTTTGGAGACATTTGATAGAAAAATTTATGTACTATTGATGCATGCTAAAATATTACTAGAACAACATGGAGTCTTTGACATATATATTGAAAAATTAATTGTTCAAAAACAAGCCAAGCCATTTCTTTCTACCTTTCTGCTTTTTCAAACTCACTTTGGTATTATTTAGAGAATCCTCACTTTTGGTATGTTGTTGCCTGGAGAGCTTCAGTGCAACTTAAGTTCAATAGTTTATTAAAGGGTAAAAGTAATGTCCTGAAATATTTAACATATAGCTCCTTTATTTTGGTTTTGCAGTGGGCATAAGAAGGGATAAACAAGTTTCGAGGAGAAGGCTATGGTTTAAACCAGTACATGGACCTGGGACAAGACTTTATGATTTACTGCCATCATATGTAAGGCTGTCTCTGGCTCTCAGCTTACCAGAAGAGTTTTAACAAATAAAATCGGGTTCTTTCCAATATATCATGCAAGCGAAGTGACCACTACGACGCCAAGACATGCTAATCAGCATCCAAGGCCAACTAAATCCTAAACCTTTAACAAGTAATGTCTTTAGAGGGGGAGGGGAGAACCAGAATCAATCAATACGTCATGGAATTCCTATAATTTACTAAGATGGATCATGGGAATTTCAGACTCCAGACACTGCCTGCTCATCTGAATTACTTTTAACATCCCACCTACTCATTTACTTTCAGATTTCCATATTAAAAGTCAAAATTTTAGCTATACCAGGCTCTAGGTGTTGTGCGAAATGTAGCCTTAGATACACCATAACACGACTAGATGACCTTAGGTCTACATGATGAACCACTTATATTGGACCCTGTTAGAAAGCACATACAGTGCTGGCCATTCAATGCAACCAGTCACACCATTGAAACTTTCGGTCGCATTGTAGACACTTTATAGGAATGTTACTTAGATATGGATCAAGGTGTCGAAAACCAGAAATAATGTTAAATACAATTAAGATAGTGTGAGAACCCAATAACTGCAGGTCTCATATTTATAAGGTTCTCACTCCCACAAACTTGAGTTCTGCTGCGATACGCACAAAGTGGAAAAATGAAAAGAAAAAAAAAACATAATGGTTGAGAAAGAAGAAAAGCTCACCAGGCTTTCCTCCAGAAAGAATAGCACTTTCAACTGGTTCCACACCATAGAGCTATCATCCAATTGCAAAAGGGAAAAAGGAATCATTTTGACAAGTCATGATAATACCAAACAGAAATTTAGCATATAGAAAGAATTCAATTACTAATCAAACCAAATAAAATATTTTGCGTTACAGGTCATTAGCCTAATTCTTAAACAAGCTCACCTTTATGTCGGGGTTCTGCTCTCTTAAATACTTGCCTGAACCTGTTATTGTGCCTCCTGTTCCAATTCCAGAGACGAGAGCATCTACTTTCCCATTTGAGCCTTTCCAGATCTCAGGACCAGTGGTCTCATAGTGTACCTACATTATGGTAGTATTTGAGTTAGCCATTTCCCCATCAGAGAAAGTAAACTTTGGTGTGGGAAGAAGAGATACCTTTGGGTTTGCAGGGTTTTCAAATTGCTGAAGAATAAAGGAGTTAGGTGTTTTGGCCTTAATCTCTTCAGCCTTCTGAATAGAACCTTTCATCCCTTTTGCTGGATCTGTAAGCACCAACTCAGCACCAAAAGCACGCAGAATAATTCTCCTCTCAAGACTCATTGAAGAAGGCATCGTTATGATGAGTTTGTAGCCTTTAGCAGCAGCCATAAATGCCAATCCTACTCCAGTGTTTCCACTTGTAGGTTCAATGAGGACACTCTTCACAAAGAAAGACAATACAAAGTCAGATTCGAATGCTAAACAAGGTGGTAACCAAATCTTCAAAATACAAATGACTTCATTCCTCCTTGTAGATAATCGTCACACATTCATCAAATTACAGAACCACTCAACCCACAAACCAAATTGCAAAATCATTTCTAGAAACAAGGGTAACTAACCTCGCCAGGTTTGATCAGGCCTTTCTCCTCAGCATCCGTAATCATACTATAACCAATCCTGGCAGTAGTAATAAAGAGATAAGCAAAACACAGTCATCAGTAATAAATACATAGCTCCGATAAATACATAACTACTGTCGAGGAATATCCACAAGCAAAATGAAGTTTTACCTATCCTTAACACTAGAGCACGGCTCCATGCTTTCGAGCTTGGCAGCAACGCGAGCAACACACCCATCCACAACATTATTCAGGTACACCAAAGGAGTGTTACCGATCAACTGTGGGTCAAAGCCGCAAATTATTAATACAATCTAAGTGGTCTACAAATTCAAAAGAAAAGCAATATTCAAAAGGAACCAGATACAAGAGGTTATCAACTTACTTCAGTTACATCCTTGGCAATTCCATTCTTTTCTCCCGCCATATTTGTCAAGTTAATTCTGCAAGAATTTAAAAGTGAAACTAAGATCATAGTGCTTCAATTCATCATATCAGCTACTCATTTAACCAAGATTTCTCATTTGAGAACCCTCTAAACCCGTTACACTCTACTCGGGCAACTTCCATCCTTAACATAATGTAATCAGTTTCCAATATTCAGGAAGAAAAAAAACTGAAAGGAACTAATAGAAACATCAAATTCTTTATAATTTTTTTCCTTCTTCCACTTCCACAGACTACAACAATTTGCCAGCTAAATTAGGAAAAAAAATAAACCCAAAAGCACTTTGTATCCTAACAAATTCAGAAAAGAAGATGCACATCTTTTTTTTTTTGATGACCGAGAATCCTTTGGACCAACCGCAGCCTCCGAAACTCGGTGGATAATGGGCCCGCCCCTCTATCCTTTCTCCATTTAAATACCAGGCTAGGCTTTGTCATTGTGTGGGGCTTGAACCTGTGACCTAAGACACAAATCCACCGCCCTTTGCCCCTTGAGCTAGGCCTGGGGGCAAAAGAAGATGCACATCTTTTATCTTATCCCTTTTAAAATTAATTGTAGATTACATCTTAATTCAATCAACACCAAGAATCCATCCTCCACAGTTCATAAATCTCAAAAAACAAAAAACCCAATTCTCAGAATCACTTTTCTGCCCATATTTAAAAAGAAATTCAATTTTTAATTCCCTAATACCTTAACAAGTAAAGCTTGAAGAAAAAATTCCGATTAGGTGGAAAAAACAGTGATCTTGGCAAATGTACAGAGAACAAATTAATTATGTAATCTATAAGAGCAAATAAAAGCCACAAAATAAATGGAGAAAAAGATTTACCTGGGATTTGACAATGACAAGAAAGGAGCCTGGTTGAAGATGGATTGGTACTAGAATGCAAATGTACGGTGACTATGTTGAGGTGGAGAAATGAATGACCCTTATATATACCCACACCCACTTCTCTATTGATCATATTTTAGTAAGTTTTGTCTTGTATTATTAGTGCCTACTGCCTAAATCGTGCAAAATTGGGCTTCTTGCCTTTTTATTCTTGTTTCAAACTTTTTTGCTTTTATAAAAGAAATTCATATTTAATGCATTACATTTATCGATCTTTAAGTTATTTAATTAATTACTCCTAACACAATCTACAAAACCTAAAGTGTTACTCTCTCCGTCCATAATAAATAACTTTTTGGACGTCACTTAAAAAAATACTAACTCCTAAAAGAAGAAAAAAGTATTTTGAAATTTGTTTATCATTAACTTGACAAATATGTAAATAAGGACAAATTATGTAAAGAGATACTTATTTTGAATAAAAATAAAAGGCCAAAAATCACTTATTATGAATCCGAGAGAGTAAATATTAAGTATAAGATATTAGATCTTATAATTATGGCACACAACTTAAATTTAGTGTAAGGTGTCCTTTTTAGTTTGTCTCATGAATTCTGATTTTTTTTTCCTTTGGCATAGTTCATAAGTTTGATTTGGTCTTAAAGATCAAATATCTTATCAAGAGAGTTATATATATATATATATATATATATATNTGTGAAATTATCATTTATTCTTAACAAGATACTGAAATTTTTCTTTCTTACTACCCAGACAAGCTTAAAAGATATGGTTTGCATACTAGTTCATAAGCTAAATGTTAAATTTCTACTTTAAATTAAATATATTAGCAAATGAGTTATTAAATTGCATATAATGTTCCTTCAATAACAATTTAGTCGTTAAAGTGTCGTAGTTGAAATTTTAACATAAGTTTGATTCAACCATCTTTTAGTACTAAACTTCGCAGAAGAAAAAGCATAAATCTGTTGGATAACTTATTCTAATATAAATAATTTATTCTAAAATAAATATTATCCGGTTATGATTGCAGCTAACAAGCTTAGAAAGAAAATATTGACTTAATTTTGAAACAAATATCTGACAGCAAATCAATCATCTTTTTTGGTAATTATTTATTACTAATTTAATATAAAGTTTCTATCAAATTGGCTCTCGAGATTCCGAAGGGTCAAATTGCATCATTTACTTTATCAGTGAACGAGAAAGACTGGCGGGGAAGTAGTCAACTAACCAAACTTTGAAGCTATCAAAATTGTTTGGAAGTCTATGTTCTTTGCTAGAATTCTCGTCCTAATTCATTTTTCCTATTTGAAAAGGAATACAACAATGTCAAGGTCTTGTTAGTGTTGATTTGGAATATCCATAGTAGAAAATCAAACAAAATATAAAAAACAAAGTCCATTAACCAATGATTCAACAAAAAAACACTAGTTTGAAAGTTGAAATTCTTTGTTACAACTTACCATTTTCATTTAGTTGTTCTTTTTTCCTCTCAAAAAGAAATATAATAATTTTGGGGTAGAAGGGGTGCGAAGCCATGCAACTAACTTGCAGTCTCCGGTAAACCTCTGAGAGTGCTGGAAGCTCTCACTCTAATGTCCGGGCACCTGGATCTGCACACAAGGTGCAGGGAGTAACATGAGTATGTCAACTCAGTAAATAACTAAAGTAAATAAGGTCCAACTGCAGTGATGAGCAATTTTAAACCATATAAGAGTTTACAACAGAAATATCAAGTCAAAACCAACAGTGCCATAGTTAGTTATCTCGTAAAAATGTCAGTTTCAATTAAAATACTTTGAAATCATTTATTCAACACTTTCCAACAGATGCACAATATAAAAAGAAGAGTGAAAGCAGCAAAATGTCATAAACGGGCCCCTCGGGCAAGGTATCACTCATAAGTATAGCCTCTCGGGCAAGACTCTTAGTCACTCGGAACTCAGCTCTCGTCAACAGTACTCACACTCAGCCCTCCGGCTCAATAATATCTCATAATAGTAATAATCATAATAACCGCTGCGGCGTGCAGCCCGATCCATAGTTTATAGTTGACTACGCTCACTGGGATTGTGCAGACTCCAGAGGGGCTCCTACAGCCCAAGCGTCATATCACTGCAGCGCGCAGCCTGATCCAATATATATATCGTTGCGGCGTGCAACCCGATCCATAATATATATATAATATTGCTGCAGCGTGCGGCTCGATATATATATAAAATCCTCACCATTAGGTCCTCAACCTCTCTCAGTCATTAACTTTACAGCCACTTGGGCATATCAGTGGAAATCAGGGAACTCAGCCCAAACAGTTTTCATATATTAAGAAGTAGAGTGATAAAATCAGATTTAAACAATAAATATGTAAAACATGACTGAGGATATGCTTTCAAAACAGATAGAGTGAGGAAAGTAGTAAAAATTACCCATAGGGTCTAAACAGGTTGGCACAAGGCCCCAAACATGTCGTACAACCCAAAATATAGTATCAATCTCAAATATATGGAATATCATAAGATTTAAAATCAAATACGCGACTTAATAGTCGCTACGGGACGGACCAAGTCACAATCCCTACTGGTGCACGCCCACACGCTCGTCACCTAGCATGTGCGTCACCTTATTTATCAAAACAATACAAAATACCGAGGTTTCATACCCTCAGGTCTAGATTTACAATGGTTACTTACCTCAACTGAATGAAATATTATTCCGCGATGCCCTTGCCTCTCGCCTGGGCCTCAACTCGCGTCGAATCTATTTAAAATCAGAATTACAACATCAATATATGCTAAGGGAACGAAGCCCATGCGAAAATAATCAAATTATACCAAAAATCTCGAAATTGGTCCAACCCGACCCCCGGGCCCATGTCTCGACATTCGATAAAAGACATATCAACGGAATCCTTATCCTCCCACGAGTTCATACATACCAAGAATATCAAAATCCGACCACAAATGACCCCTCAAATCCCTAGATTAAAGTCTCCAATTTCCAAGCCCAAACTCCCCAGTTTTAGGCTTCAAATCCCCCAAATTTCATGTTTAATTAGGTAGGAATCATAATAGAATCGAGTATTAAGTCCATAAATATTACCTCGAAAAAGTTCTCTTTGATTCCCTTTTCAATCTCCCTCAAGAAGCTCCAAAACTAACTCAAAAATGGTGAACTTTGGCCAAAAATCGCGAAAATGGCCTTTTAAACATTCTGCCCAGCGATTAAAAATTCCTTCATCACGAACGCGGTCAACGCCTCGCGTTCGCGAAGCACAAAATCCGTTGACCACTAAATCCTTCTTCGCGAATGCGACATCCTAAACTCAAACGCGAAGCTTCAGCTCCTCAACCTATCGCGAACGCGACACCTAGCTCGCGAACGCGAAGCACAATGAACTTGGACCCCAGCTGCTCCCAATACTCTATGCGAATGCGAGACCACATCACGTTCGCGATGAACACTGCACCTAACCCTTCACAAACGCGGGACACACATCGCGAACACAAAGTTAAGACTTCCTGCCTCACACCCTAACCTTTCGCAAACATGAGAGCCCACTCGCGAACGCGAAGGCCAATTTTCTGCAACACCAACAACAGATTTTCTGCAACTTTTCCAACATGAATTTGATCCGTTCAACCACCCGAAACTCACCCGAGGCCCTTGGGACCTCAACCAAACATGCCAAAATATCCCATAACCTCATTCAAACTTGTTCCAACCTTCGGAACGCTTAAAACAACATCAAAACACCAAATTGACATCAGATTCAAGCCTAAGAATTCCAAAAACTTCCAAATTTCGCTTTCAGTCAAAAGGTCTATCAAACCTCGTGCGAATGACCAAAAATTTTGCACACAGGTCACAAATGACACAACGGACCTACTCCAACTTCCGGAATTCCATTCCAACCCCTATATTAAAATCTCACCTATCAACCGGAAAACGCCAAAATTCCAATTTCGCCAATTCAAGCCTAAATCTGCTTCGGACTTCCAAAACACATTCTGATCACATGCTCCTAAGTCCCAAATCACCTCCTGAAGCTATCCGAATGATCAGAATTCATATCCGAGCCCTTTTTCACATAAGTCAATATCTGGTTGACTTTTCCAACCTAAGTTTACTCTAAAGAGACTAAGTGTCTCATTCCTTTCCAGAACCTCTCCGAACCCAAACCAACCAACCCGATATCATATAATACAGATGAACAAGACAATAAGAAACAAAAATGGGGGAAATTGAGCGGTAACTTATGAAACAACCGGCCGGGTCGTTACATCCTCCTCCTCTTAAACAAACGTTCCTCCCCAAACGAGTCAAGAAACATACCTGAAGCCTCAAATAGGTGAGGATATCTACTCTACATCTCCCGCTTGGTCTCTCAGGTAGCCTCCTCCATGGGCCGACCTCTCCACTGCACTTTCACTGAAGCAATATCCTTTGACCTCAACTTTCAAACCTGATGCTCCAAAATAGCTACTAGCTCCATATCATAAGTCAAATCATCATCTAACTGTACCGTGCTGAAATCCAATACATGAGATGAATTGCCAATATACTTCCGGAGCATAGAAACATGAAATACCGGATGCACACTCGATAAGCTGGGTGGCAAAGCAAGCTCATAAGCCACCTCCCCAATCCTTCGAAGCACCTCAAAAGGCCTAATGAACCGAGGACTCAATTTACCTTTCTTCCCAAATTGCATAACACCCTTCATGGGTGAAACCTTCAAGAGAACCTTCTCGCCAACCATGTAGGACACATCACGTATCTTCTTGTCAGCATAACTCTTTTGCCTCGACTGCATTGTACGAAGCCTCTCCTGAATCACCTTCACCTTGTCTAAAGCATCATGCACCAAGTCTATACCCAAAAACCTAGCCTCACCCAGCTCAAACCAACCAACCGGAGAACTACACCGCCTCCCATACAAAGCCTCATATGGAGCCATCTACTGATAACTGTTGTTATAAGAAAACCCTGCGAGCTGTAGAAATTTATCCCATAACCCTCCCAAATCAATGACACAAGCGCGCAACATGTTCTCCAATATCTGAATAGTGCGCTTGGACTGTCTATCCATCTGAGGGTGAAAAGT